GAATTAGATCCATGAAAAAGTCACAGGTGAAACTCACTGGTGAGCCAAACATAGTATTTTTGGCCAGTTACAGAACTCACAGTGTCACGGCTGAGTTAGTAACTTTTGTGGACATTGCTTTGCACCATGACAATGTCGGTGATGTGGTAGGCACAATGAAGATGCCTGCTATAAGTGCTGAATGAGCATTGAACTACAAATTCGCTTTACGTGGTTCAAAATTTTCGCGTGTTTAGATGAAGAGGCGTCCGCTGCAAAATGTGAAAGTTCTCTCAAGTTAACTCACGAATTATCACACAATGCTGCCTCCTCTACCGTAAAAGGCACACATGTGTTGATAAAGAGGCACACTGACGTTTTAAGTTACCACCTTTGTTACATCAAATGCGTCCACGATAAAGCTATGTTGGGTTTTGTCTGAAATTCTATTAGCACTTCCCAGTAGTTCAAGTGAGAATTTTTTGGGTCAGACTTCATTGCAGATTATACACAAAAAGGAAACAGATTTTTACTCCATTCCGATAAATAATGTAAATGTTACTAGATAAGTAAAATGAGGAAGAAAGGTCAAAAAGTAAGATTCCCTAAAAGTAAGGCCCTGTTTAACAACATTTAAGGTTTTACGAAGCCTTATTGTGATTTTCTAACGTGGAAAGTTATTAATCTAGAAGGTTTTATTAACCAAACAGGTCAATGGCCTTAAAGTGAAAAATTCGGCAGTGAAACTCTATGAATTTGCAATAAGCAGATCTGGATTCAACGACGTAGTCCCCAGTCGCATTCGCTGGCCTCAAAATTTGTGAGAACCTTGTGCGTTACACCATGGCACATCAGTTTTCTTTGCATTGTTATCTGGAAATCCTAACCAACGGCATTGCGATCAAGCAATAAGGAATAGGGCAATTCGGCCAAAGTCTGTGGTTTTAGTATAAAAGCGTCCATTTGAGGTGGGCATTGCGATTTAGTCAATTACACTAATTCGATCAATAATATCCTAGCAAGAAGGAATGGGGTAATTAGGCCAAAACCCGTGGTTGTGGTATAAAGGCGACCATTTGAGGTGGGTCTATTGGAGACGACAGGGCCTTACTAACTTGAAAGTCGGAACCAGACAGACGTCCGCGTCAATTGCTATCTACGTTATGTCGGTAATTGGCCCCAAAGCACCAGTCACCATTGGTGTTCATTAAAAGGAGTCTTAAAAGTACATAATACTTAAAAATGACATGCCTTTTTCAACATAATTTTTCTTCATCTAAAATAACCTACAAGAGCATGCGGTTAAACGTCAAGGTAGTCGAGGTTCACAAACAAAGACTGGAATTCCATATAAGTTGTTTGGAATATTGGAAACTACGAAACAGCTGTGTTGGATGCAGAGCACGCTTCTAATATCCTAAGAAATTCACAAAAAAACGTTTGCAGATTGGCAAACTAGGAAACCATTTAGTCAAAAAAAAGAAACCACCTCTTTTAAATAAAATTTTGGGCCAATTATTTGAGTAAAATCATTCTATCTAATATTATCCCGGAGTTGTTATTAAATGAATTTCAGAAATCAGAAACCTAACCAGTAAGAATCAGCTCAAATACTGGTTCATGCAATATAGCATAATTAAATGTTTTTGAAGTTATGGTAGATGCCTATGATAGCGGTGTCATTACCGAAAGCGTCAGGCTTAGTAGCTCTCCAAGTAAATACGAAAAATCCCACATTTGCTTACTCAGTGAGGCATAAGTAAAGCCCACCACACTACAACATCCAAGATTCGTGGGTTTAAGCATTTGATGCTGCTAGTTCGGTTGAAGGCGTCAGTGCTAGTTGCAACGCCCAACTAGTTTGAGTTTTTACGAAGTTTAACACCGAAATCAGTTTGATTCCAGAAAAACGCGTCGTGGAAAATTTACACAACTCGAATCGAAGTAGAGGCAGAATTTGCTAATTCTGTGATGACCTTGTTGAGGCCTCGTCATGCACTCTTGAACCACACCGAGGCGGCTGGGTAAAATTTAGCTCATTTACACGACTCAGATACGCGGAAGGACAAGTGGAAGACCAGAGATGACATGTCATGTGGTACGTGCAGGCGCTCGCTATAGTGCATGTCTAATTTAGTTATTGATTAGAAAGGTAATTGAACCGGATAACATACAAGTAACTGGGTGATCAGAATAGTTCAAGTAATAGCCGGAGGGGGTGGACAGTATGTCGCAGACTGCAGCAGCTCGATTAATCGACGTGAATCAATACGATTCACTGCCACCTTCAAGCTAGGCACTAACCAGTACGCCTTTGTGATTTCATTTAAATTAACTTGAATTAAAAAGATAGTCCCCTGTGATAACAAATGATCACACGCGCAACCCATGATGACCATCGACTTGGCTATCAGGCCAAAATAGCAGTTTCTGTCTGAGATACACCCGGGACAAAAAACCCTTGTTATCTCCTCAACAGCATTAAACAGATTTTTTTACAAAGCTAGCCACTACTAAAATAGACAAACAAATGCTTAGAACTGGAATTTCATGCCAACGAAAATTCGGATTTATAAATTCGGCTTCTGTGATTGGAAAAAAATTTGGGCAATCATGTGTTTGCTTTAATTGGCGAAACTGGTTTATTCAGCACAAAAGCTCTGTCCACAAATGCCAGGATATACAAGGAAATTGACCGGTTAGAATTGGTTAATGATGTATTAAAGACACAAAACGCTCAGAATGAAGCTAAAGGTCTTTAGAGCCTGGCGTCAGTCAACAAGCTTCCTCACATATGTTGTCAGAATGCGCTCGCCCATAGATAGCTGGTCTAAGAAGACAAAAATGCTTTTCATACTAGTCTGGATGCATTAGTAGTGTTTAGGATTAAATTGTCATTTTGCCAAGCCACATAATTTGCTGCGGATATGTGAATGTCATTGAAAACACTAAAATTTTGGACTGAATGAGGAGCAGGTCTACAGTTGGGATAAAAGTTTCCGGACGCCAGGTCATGCATTTAATTTAAAAGTGAAATTAGTTCTTGTAAAGACAAGAAAAATTCAACAAATAGACGCCCATGTTTACTTCAAGCCTGTGCAAATTTTGAATACTTGATTTAGAGACATTAATAATGGAAGGATATACAGTACGCAGAAATGCGTGTGCGGGATTTTGTCCAGACGGCAGTGCAAATATCTTACTATGCGCATCGCGCTTCTCAGCAGCTTTAAAGTATAATCAACTCGTAAATCGGCAACTTAAAGGGACAACAATAATGTTTTTGGTAAGTGCTGTTTAGGTGCGACGCAGACATCACTGCAGTAAATTGCATAAGTGTTGGGGATCCACGATTCCTCAGGATTGCTCATCGTTGGTTTCTGGCACAATTTACACTGATTCACTAGCGTGTGTTTTATTACGCTTTTTATCAAGCCAAGGTCAACCTTGACTTGGAATTAGTTTCACTTTCGACACTCCACTCTGCACGTGGCTGACGTGATTAAAGCTCTCTACACGAGCTCTGGTCTTGTTCTTGTATTAACGTGGCCAGGTCCGTTCTAGCGTCAGCAAGGGATCTGGTACCGTTATTTGAGTGGTTTATCAGTGTTACGGGCAAACGTAACAATAAATCAGAATTTAAAGTGGTTGATTTACAAAGAATTTTCTTTACATTGCTGTGCCTCTAGAATCTAGTCTCCACGAGAAGCAGTTACAGCAAGCGACGTCCGTTTACAAGATACTTTGGAAGAAAATGGGACGTAAAAAGTTGATTGCTTAAAACAAGCTTGTAATACTGCTGAAATAATACATGAGTAGTCAAGTCAACAATGGTGAGGAATAAGTAAACTAAAAACTTAGAAGTTTGTAGATGAGTAAACAAACCACCACCAAAATACATTCAATTAAATAGATTCAATCAAAAAACGCAAATTCTCGGAGTTTTAGCGTTGATGGGAGCACAACTTTGACACCTCTGAGTCGATGAACCATCAGTGGTCGAAATAATGCACAATGAATGATTAGCAAAATACTTAAATAACGCCGAAAATTCGAATACTTTTCAGTGACTTTTTTCTCATTTTTCAATTTTCCTAATGAATTGGACAATGCCCAAATTCAGGCGAATCGTGTGAGATCAATTAAATATTTGGCTATTCACAAGAACAAATTCTAAGCCAGTATGAATGCCTCCCTTTATAAACAAAGTTTGACAGGTTCCTTGATTACTAGTTATTGAACTCAAAGTATACAATCCAATCGGAAAACCTCTTTCCTTAAAGATAATTTGGCAGCATCAAATAACATTCACCAAGAATTCCGCCAAAGCACATTAAACACGAGACTTCTTATGAAAGTTTAAGCCTGCCTTTAGGTTAACGGGTTCGTCTTTTTGAAAACAACCTCATATTGTGTGCGTGGGCTACTTTGTTTTCTAGCAGATTTGTCTCCCACGAATCAGTTAACAGAGGTTGAATCTGGTGACCTTCTTCGAAAGGTTAAAAGGCAAAAGATGGTAAAGTGAAAGGCTCAAGGAAATTCGTGATTCCCCTGAAGCCATTTCTTCCATCCAAAAGACGTCATGCGTTTCCGGAAATCTGATTTGTCAATCTGCAATTTTTCTCTTTCCCGAAGGAAAAAGGGGAGACAGCACGAATCCTTTAGCTATCACGATGGTCTATTTTAAAAAAAAACATTAATAAAACTTGCGAAACTAAACCTCTGTCTCTTCATCTAAAGGTATCAATGAAAGTAATTTTGCCACAACGGGAATGTGTCGTCAACCGATGAAATATACGAAGCAAATCTTTAAGACCTGATGTTGCATTTTGAAGATGTCTAAGAAAAAAATTCGGTTTTTTATAGCCTTTTTAGCATTTCAACAGGCACAAGTCAGCCTCTTCAAGTAAAACCATAATGCAAATAAGTCATTATTTGAATATTTGGGCCAGCGAGGTAAATTTTGATAATTCAAGTACTTGTGCAAAGGTGGAGGAATGGTTGGGTCCACTCCGGTTTCAGTGAATGAATAAAATAGTGAAAACTAAAAGTTTCGCATCATATTGAAAGTGGGAGTTCAGAGGAGGTGGAAAAGCCAACTGATTAGCGATGCGCCTCTAAATTCATGGCATGTTGCAGGCCTCAGGGAAATGCCAAGTTCAAATGCCGTTTAATCTTCAGCGATAATTCCTACTCAGTTTGCAGTAGTGAGAGGATACAAATTAACTTTAAATTGTTGAAGGGTAACGCTAACATGAGAATTAGGTTACGTCAGGCTATTAACTTCTTTAGCGCGTTAGTTTATTTTGAAACAGAGCTAACTTCAAACTAAAACGCGGTTTTACTGTGCTTTTGCTCAATGTAAAAATGAAGTGTGGACATTTTTGCTTGCGGATTGGAGACTTTTGGCTTCCAGTTCAAGGTAGGACCATTAACTAAGCTGATGTCTTGGTGTTGTTGTTGGTTACAAATTTCAGCAGTGGCACTGTTTTAACAAATTAGGCAATAAATCTTCCAGCAACCCGAGGAACACACAGACCTTGTTTCGTCCCATAGTTTTAGGATGTGATAGGGATTACTTGTTACGATGAAAGGTGTATGAATCCACTTACCGGTGTATGCATCCAGAAAACTGTTTCTTCCTTCCAAGGCCACTCCAAAGATGGAAAATGTCTCGGCCCAATTCGCCTTCGACTGTCCAGTTACTGCCGCCAAGCAGGAGGTTTCTTCCAAACACTGGATCCACTTGTGCGTCATGGGAGGTTTTTTCGTTTGCTGTCTTCAAAAGCCCCACGATCTCGGCCTCAGAGGCAGCCCAAAAGGCTCCGCCATCGGTAGCCACAAAATAATCAAACACTTTATCTCCTGCGACAAGGATAATGGCGTTTTGCATGTCAGGAAGGGAAATTTTGCCTGCACCTACACGAAGAAAGGTTCGTTCCCCCCTTTTGGAATTCACACGAATCTCAAAAGCTTGGCTACGCGTTACTAACCACGGCTTTTCATTTCGTAGCTCAACAGCTAGAAGCGGGTCTTTGTGGGAGAGACGATGGAACAGAAGAAAGACAAAGGCATCTCGAGCATGAGACGTGAAGTCGATTTCAATCTGCTGCCAGTTGAATATTCGATTTGCATAATGAGGTAGTTTGCCGAATAGGGCTCTAGTTTGACCCTCTGTGTGGAGTGGAAGGCGCAGTGGGAGGTGCATTTGTTGAAGGACAAGGGAATGCAAATTTGCCTGCTTCGTAAAGCAAGGTATCGGACGAACACCGGAGACTTCGAAGCCATGGAGTGACATTTCCGCCAACTTGAGAATATCGAGAACCGTGTCATCCACTTGAAGGACAGCCTAAGCGTTAATAAACGAAACCAGAAAACGATTATAGGTGAATGTCACTGCTGCATTTACAGGGACCCACGAACTTGTCGAAATTGCTCTATTTGCCCTTTATGCCTGACTTGTCTGCCCGAGAAAAGTGGACAGAATCATTGAAGATCAAGGTCGTGGTGGACGCTAAGGTGAGTCTAGGTGTTTGTCGGTTTAATTTATGTATACTCTCTCAAATTTACCTCATTCTTAAAAAATATTTTTTTAGTCTATATTATTGATTTTCACGTCAGTATTAAAACCCACAGATGTGGTAAGTTCTTTTTTGACCTATTTAAAATGTAAACCTGTATAAAGTGTGAAATACTTACCTTGGTGACTTGGCCGTTGAAGGTTCCCTCCCTTGAAGTTCCCAGTACAATGTGACGACTTTCGAGGAAGCTGGCCTGGATTTCGTCGAAGTGTAGACTTTGATGAAATGCAACGTTGTCGTCAATGGAGATTTGTATCTAATATTAAGCGAGAAGAAACTGTTTTGTGAGTAGCCACTTCGGATTCTAGCTTAATTAACTAACCTTTGCAAATAAAAACCAGCCATTTTCCAGTTATGCATTGTAATCAAAGCAGCGTGCACTACAATGTCTCTTTATGTTGGACAATCTAGCACTAACACAATGTAACATGAAAGAACTCTTGTTTTTTTTTTAACTTTGTGTGTTTGCAGACGCATACTTAACACAGGAATTTTGAGTGCACACAATTGCCTTGCAATCAAGAACAGTTGTTTTTAGAAGGTTGCATTGAAAAGTTCACAAAAACACAACCCCCTAAGTCTTCTACGCACCTATTTTACGAATTTGCAATTCTTAATGGATGCTACTATGTGTAAAGTTCAGTTTGCCTTCAGAGTAATCCGACGTTTTGAATAACCATCAAATTTTGCATACATGGAGGTAATGCCAAAAAATGGCCTACGTGGTATTTAAACGCTTGTCGACATTTATTAAAACACATCCTAACTATTTGACCAAAAAAGTATCTAGGAATTTAGGATTCAGAAAACTGCAAATCATTTCGGTTATTTCCGCTTAGCTTGAAGAGGTAGCAGGCGATAAAATGCATGAACTAAGACGACGACGAGTGCTAGTCTGCAGTTTGGAGCCCACATGAAACCCAACTTAAAAACGAGTCAGTGTTTGCAGAAATAACGTCCTCAGTAGTGTCGTGTGCTTAGCAAATGATGCAGGCTCGGCTTCTAGTGGCTTTAAATTAATAATCAGCAGAAAATAAGAAGAAAGCACTTAATGTCAATGTTAACAGACTTCGGAAATTGCAAAAAACTCTGCCCTGTAATGCCGCAAAAACCGTGCGTTCGCCTGATTTTAGGTTTTAGTAATACGGAAAATTGAGCAGCCTACACTTTGGCATTCACACTTGAGTTATCACAAAAAATTTGGAATATGCTTAAGACGCTCGCATGATAAAAGATTGATCCCATCTTTTGCGTCTAGGATTAAAAGTTGGCGTTTATCTTGAATCAGCTGTGTTGTTTTTCTACTCTTAGTAAACTCGCACTGTTTTGTAAAACAAGCACCTTTTTTATGTAAGCATTTTAAAGAAGACTGGCAAATGCAGTCATTTTAAAATTGGCAAAATAGAAATTGAGCTTAGGTTAATCCTTTAAAAAAAATTAAATTCAAGCATGCAAACAGTTTAAAAATCGTGTGAACGCGTCTGCCATCATTGGTTTAACAAAGTCATTTTAGCAAAACTTTCCCTGCAGCGGACAAATTCGTACCACCATGAGTGTTAAAATTAAAGCTTAATGTTAAATGCTGGTGTTGCATGTCGTTGAAGGCATCACAACGTAAATTACTCGGTAAAAGTCTTATTTTTGTACAGTGTACTTAAAATTGGAAGCTGGCAGAAATAATCTTAAATTATTCGCCGAAAGCCTAGCCTCATGTCAATTATTATCCCTTTTCTTACTAGTTTTTATACAAATGTTACTTTGCTACGGTGCCCACTGTTTTCGCAAATGTTTATTTTGGAGTTTTAAGAAAAAAAGCCCTTTTTTAGTCACCTACCTGCGGTACACGACAAAGAACACACCGAACACCGAACTGATTGGTCACACTAATAGTTTTAAGTTAGCATGTCGAAGGATGTTTCAACTGAAAAGCCAGAACAGTTGTTCCCGCAACATACGACACACTTTCTGTGGTCGAATTTACCTGAGACGAAACCTTCTTCGTGGGTGTTTATTTAAGTGTTTTGAGAATGGCTATATCTCCTCTATTTGCATACTGCACAAAGTAGGAAGCATGTTTGGATTTTGTCCAAAAACCGCAACACTGACTGCTCAGAACAAGCCAATTTAGTAAACTCGCTTGTGTTTGAAAAACTGGGAATCACGACTGTCTGCATCAACGCTGAATAAATTTGGCGCGTGCATATATATGCATATATACTTTTGGAAGTACATTTCCGAAAGTGTTGCAAAAGTTTTATATTTATAACTATACCAGATTGTAGAATTTTTGAAGCAATAGCGAGATCAGCAGTTTTGGACCAAGAAAAGAAGCAAATTCTGTTGGTGGATGCCGACACTAGCGAAATGAACTGCACAAAATGGTCCAGCAAGTTTAAAACTAAGTAGACTTTGTATTTAGTAAATGTCTCACAAAAAAAAGAATTTTTTCAAGCTTGCTCCAAAATGTTTCACAAAGTTAAAACTTCGCTGATTTTGACGTTAGGCTATAAGGGAATTAATTACTCAGAGGAAAATGGAGGGTGCGAATTGGAATACAGTTATGATTGCCTCATGACCTCATTTCCAAAGTCTGATGAATGATCATGTCAGGCCACAGAAAACTAAAATCAGTCTGTGCTTAAGTAGAACATCAATATTTAAACAAAACCGTGACTTTCTTTAAGACGAACCTCGTTATGCCTCGTCAAATGTAGCTGGGATTCTGGAACCACATCGTAGCTCCATTGTGAAGCATACAAAACTCAAGTTTTTGAAGTTAGAAACCTTAATAAATTATGTGAGCTTTCATTAAATTCCAATATTCCATCATCACATTGAATCCTTTATAAGCAAAATGATTCAAACCTCTCCAAAATTTGTAGAACTTAACTGTTCTGCTTGCATGTTATGAACCAAAAATTTATTACAATCATGCACAACGCCTGAGAGATGATGAAGGAAGTAGAATAAATTTTGATGTTGTTGCGGTGGGAAATGCAAAAGGTCTCAATTAAATTTGCAGCCTCAACCTGTTTGAAGCACTTTGCAGCTTTGATCATAAAAGCCCTGACCGGTGATGGCGTTGTGCAAGCATTTCGAGCAACTCTCAGAGGTTCCCAACAGTGCTTGCGTGATTTGAACAAAAGGCACTTAGGAGGCATAAATATTCATGCAAAGAGCTTGCAGTGTCGTGAAAAAGACTTAGTAAATGGATTACAAGTCTTCGATTATTTTTTTCAAATACATCAAACCGACCAGCTTTGATCAGCATTACAAGAAGGCTCTAGCTCTTGTATGCAAGGCAGTGTGGAATGGAAAATGAAAAACCCAAGCTTCTGTTTTCACTAAAAGCCTTTATTCTTCTTTGAATGACGTTTCCAGTGACCTGCAGACTAAGTATTTTAGCACTTGGGTCGTTTGAGAACATACAAAATGGGCGCTGCAAGTAAACACTATTAAAAGTCTTTCCTTAGTGTAAATAATTTAAATGAAATTTTTTAAATTGCCATTTTTTTAAAATTTATTCGACAAAATAGAACTGCAGAGTGCTTAGGCAGTTTGCCCAATAAAACATTGCACGTTAATGAAACCAGCCACATCGAAATTGAGCAAACTTAGACATCCACGTGTTGGAGTTATTTAGCAATAGATAGTCAAACTTAGAAGCCAGCTTTTTATTTATAACTTATTAGGCACCTTGATACTACTTATGAAGCGATTTACAGACACGTGTAGTCAACATGTTACGCTATGTGCTTTTCTAGACATCGGCTTGTCTGTCTGTTGGGAGCATTTGCGTGAATATTTAGGAGTAATGCTCGCGGCATTGCGCCAAGCAGTGACAGCTTTCTGCAGACAGCAGAACATGACTTTAAAACGGCAGTTGCCTGCCATATCTCTGAAGGCAGCCAGCAGCAAATTGGAATAGGCCTTCACGCCAATACGCCCCTTTCCCGTCTCCCTTTCCAAAAAAATCACCTATGTTAAGCAGCCATTGGCTGCTGGTATCGATTTGGTAAAGTAACTAAAATCGTTTGAGCATGCGATACCATTCCTTCCAAGTTAATTACTTTTTGGTGTTGAGCAAAAGTAAATTTAAAATCCAACTTTTTTCTTGGGTTTCTTAAAAAAATAGTTTGTGGTTTTTGATAACAGACTCCACTTTCTAAAAGTGCAATTTGAAACCCTTTTTAGAAATGATTTATTGCTTTTATTAGTACACTGAATATTTGAAGTAATCAGGCTGTCAGTTCACGCTAGTTCCCGCGTCAATTAGAAGTCTTTCAGGCCAGTGAATTATCGGTTGACTGGTGAAAAGCAGTTGATGTGACCATATCCAACTGGTGTGAATTCGGCTGCAGTACTTACTAGAAATTCTCATTTATGTTCTTTTTTTGGTAGAAAAATGTGTAGCGGGCCCGGTGCAGTTTTAGAAACCACACCAGGGCCCTCAATATGCGTTGACACGGCCTAACGGAAAGACGGATGGAAAAAGATGCAGACGGTGAGTAGCTCAATCAATTTACTAAAGTAGTAGCGATGTGTGTACAGGATAACGAGTGCGTTTATATAGCTTTGCTTAGCATTGATCGCTGAACGCAGCTAGTTGCGTGAAGGGCTTTATCGAAAATCGATTGAATCGTGTTTGCGCACGCTTGCTAACTGCGCTCGCCTGCTGCTCGTCACAATTGCATCCTCGGAAAGTTGGAGACTTAATATCAACGGCTGACAACTGAAGAACGTGTATTCGCTGTAAAAACATCTGTCGAGTGGTTGAGTAGCAATTAACTTAAACAGTTGGCAAAATAATTTGACACTTGACATGTAGAAATTCTTATTTAGTTAACAATAAGGATATCAGCACCATTAACGCTGCAGTTTCAATTAGAATTAATGCTTTAGGCAGACAACAACCATGTGGCAGTTCTCAAGAATGGTTTTTCGGTGAGAGTGGTGAACCGGTTGTGATGTGGCTAAAGCAAGACGATTTACGCTACTCCCCATTACAGTGTCGCGCGCGACTGGCTTGATGAGCACCTCCGACACAAAGGGATTGGTCGTCGTGGTTCCAAGGATCACCCGCTGCTCGCTTCCTTAGAGAACCTCGAGACTAACTACAGAATGCGGTCGGCGTATCGAGGACTTACCCTACCCGTGCTCAGACTCTCCAATTATTACAAAACACTTTCGATTCAACGTCGAGTGTCCTGGATATTAATTAATGCTTCTCTTAGCTAAGAAGTTTGCATTTCCCGGTTACTTTTCATCCTTTAGAAAAGTCGAAATGGTTGCCATAGTAACCTACTTCTATTTCGATCGTTCTATTTGTTTTCAAAATAACCTGATTTCCGTGGAGTAGTAATTCTGACTGGTACTATGTTCACTGCAAGTGAAAGCTTTTACCTGGACCTTCCAAGACAGCGGCGACGTATTCATTGAATCATGTCTTCGCCACATCTTTGCGGTTGTTCTTAAGAACCACTAATACTTGCAACCAATGCCTTCTATGATGCTTAACTTGAAACCAATTTGTACTATAATTAATTACACCTTATACTTACAATTTTTTGCTAAATCCTAAAACACATTGAACTAATTCTGTTAAGCTTCCCACCACACAGATATTATCACGCTTTCAAGCCTGTAAAAAATAGAATTGTTGTCATAAATGTTAAAACGCAAACAACTATCAAATTTCCGGTTAGCACACATGATTTACATTTAGGAGAACATATGTTCTTGCAAGACATTAAGTATGCATTTATTCTGGGGTTGCTCCCAACTGAGGCTTGCTATACAGTTGAGCAGGCGTGCAGATCTCCCAACTTCAAGTACTTTCGTAATTTGCATCGGAATGCACCATGCAAATTTGGCAGGCAGTTTAATTCACAAAATGTCATCCAACACCCATAACACTCCACCTTACCTTATCCAAGCTTCTTTCAAGAAGGACGTCGTGCAACTGGTAGTTGTCAAGGCGTGAAGTGAATCCGGGAAGGGAGTAGAAGGTGTCGCGGACAGTGAGGAAGCCGGCTCGCGAAGACTGGAACCACTTGAATGCCCCGATGAGGGAGTTGTTCGGGGTCACTGCGTAGGGCCGGTCAGAAACCACCTCGGCCGGCAGGCGAATGTGCACATGCAGGAGGCCGTCCTTCAGTGTTAGGTGATAGAAAGATTCATTTGAGCCTTAAAAAGTGAGATTACGCAACCTATAAATATCAAGCACCAGTTTTAACCCCAAAACGATTTGTTCAGGGGGAATGATGCCGCAATTTTCTCAGATTACATCAAATTGCACTTAAGCTCTGTTTTAAAAGAGTGTTTTATGAAATGCATACCGCCATTTACAAACAAATGAACAGGACTTCCGCTGCATCACCGCCATGACGATGTTTTAAAAAAATCACATTTAAGTGTGAAAAGTGTTTTGTTTTAAAAAAAGCACGACGATTTTTAAGAGAATGAAAGAATAACCACGTACATTAATAAATTTTGAATTGGTTATTAACCGCTATCTGATAATATTAGACAGAAACAGATAAGCTTAAGTAGAACGATATGCATAAAAGAGCGTTTTGACGAAGTAATCAAGTTTAATGGTCCTTACTAACACTGAAATGGAAGCAGCTCTAATGCCAAGGCTACACTTCCTTCGCAGATCTGCAAGTATACAGACGTTCGAACAAATTAAGGAGATCGTGTCGGTGTTCACAAATTAAATCATGCAGAGAAACCCAGTGAAAACCAATGGAATATGAAATTCTTTTTTCCAAATTTCCTAAATTAACATGTTTATTTTTTTGTCGTTGGGTGCACAAAACGGACTGGGACGAATTTGATGAAATAGGTCAAATTAATAAGTACGATTTACACTCTCAACAAATATGGTACTCGTTTTTTGTCTATTTGAGTTCATTAGTTCTCTAATTGCTACCTGATTTCGCATAAAGCTACCTTACTTTTCCTCTGATTAAAAAAACATTCGTCGGTAAATAAACCCTTGAAATCCACAAAAGTGAACCAAAGACCCAACCTTTAATAATTTTTTTACTTCGAACAAAGGGTACAATGTGCTAATGAATTCTGCAATTCACTGCAATTTAGAGAAACCGCAAATTGAAAAAGTTCAGCTCAGAAAAGCCACTCAATGCTACATTTTGAATGACCCATAATTCAAGTAGTTTGTTGCCCATGACCTCCTTACCAATTCCTGAAGTCACTTGTTTCAGTTTTTCAATTTTTTTTGGACAAAAGTAATTTTAAAAGACACTGAAGTGAATCAGATCAGTGTTGCATTTATGCCTGTTCAAGCGCCTAAATTTAAAAACGAAGCAGCAGGAAATTTTTAGCAAAATGTCCCTTGAATTTGTCCGTTTACTAAAATTCAAAAATACTTGGTCGAAGTATATTCTGAAAATCATCTACTGTTGAAAGCACTAGATTGCAAAATTTTCGATGGATTTCGCATCAGTATTGCTTATCGATTTGAATATAGGCGCCTCTGTACACTAAAAAAAGGTGCAGATTTGCAAAAAATTTAGCATTTTCTGCGGTAAAATAACGATATCCTACCATTTTTTCAATGACCACTGCATTTACGGTCAGGTACCAAATAACGGGTGTAAAATCGTCGTTGGTTTAAGTGTTGCGATTTTCCTAACTGCCTGCAGAAAGATAAGTAATAGAACAAAATATGTTGCGTGCTGCCCAGTGTTCTTCAGTAGGCTACTAAACACAAAAATTTTCAAATTTTATTATAAATCTTGTTAGTTAATTAAATCACGAATTTACTGACCGTCCTTTGAATGCTAGAATAGCTTTAAGAAATGCTCCATTACAGCTTAATGGTGTGGCAAAAGTTGCTATTAGTGATAATCTGGCAGCAGCAGCAGTTATCTCTACTGTTTGATGCTCCTAGACCTCGCGTAAAGCAGCATTTCATGGGAGATAAGAAGATCCTGTTGTTAACACTAGTTTCATCTCTTAATTGCTCTAAAATGAAACGGTTTTCGTTGTATTGCATTATTTCTGAATAATGTGTATGAAACCAATTTAATTTAACTTTGATTATTCATTAGCTTTGCATAAATTTAACCACCTAAGAAATATAACATGGGTTCGACAACAGAGAATCATTTTGTGATCATCCTAAGAGCTTTAGAATTTTAAATTCGTGCATCCACTAGTGGTAAAAGCAGCAAAACCTCACAATGACATAAGTCCATCATCAGAATGGTCCTAAACCGTTCGTCATAGGGCTAATGCAACTGCAGACTAGTGCAGCCCGGAAAACGACTTGTCTCACGAAACACACAGACCGTTTGTGCAAATAAATCATTCAGAAATTTCTGTTTTGATTCATCCACAAAATAGGCATCCCATTAGCACAATCAAACATTCATAACAGAGTCATAAACAGACCTAAAAAATGCAGGAGCACTACGTTACGAAAGTTTACCCTCTGACTCTGATGAATATCTAAATGATAAAAAAACACTGACGGAGACTGTGTTTGATGTAGTTTTGTTGGTTATACAAAAACAGTTTTTCAATGAAAAAAGTCTTAGTAAGCTAGACCTAACTAAAAGTCTCTGACAGAAAGGTGGGTAATTATTATTGACATACCAGTGAAAAACAACGGAGAGTTTGACTGCGTTGTCCTGAATTGCAGGAAGAGGCGCTCGCTAGCACTGAATACTGGGCCATTCAGGAGGTGGTTTTCAATGCTTCCTTCCAATTCAAACTGAAGACAGTTTGCATCTTGGGGCATGAAAATCACGTAAGCTTTGCGGACTGACTGGTTAGTGATTTCCGGACATAGGAATTGGTTTAGTTGGCAATCAAAAATGACATGTCTGGTTGCAATAAATGCCCTCTACTTCAATGCACTTTTGAGGCTTACTCTACGGTGAAAAAATTCAGTAAAATAATGGATATTGCACAGAACAGTTCTACCAGGCCTGAGTACAAGGTCGCATTGGCAAGGTTAAACCGTGCCTTTTGCAAATGTAATTTACCAACTGCGTAATTTGTAAAGTGGGCGAGCGAATTTGTGCTGCGACGGCACCAAAACTAATTACCCTGAAGAACGCATTGGCACACAGACAAACCTGCACTTCCCAAAACCTTGTAGTCAGCACGTTTTTGGAAAACCATTAAGAAAATTCAGTACTGTAGAATAACATGCATTTTACAGGCTGTGTATTTCCGACGTGGCGAGAGATTTGGATTCTTAAAACATTGTGAGATCTTTGGTTTATTTCTAAACTCAAGGAGGTACAAAGTAGCATAAACCTTTACCTAATCTTCCCCATTGTAGATATCTACGAAAATAAATGTAATTGCAAGATTGTGTACTGCATCACATTAACGAAGTTGAAATTGACTGAAGATCGTTGTGATAATTTCCGAGAGAAAGCTTTCAGAACCCTACTAGAAACTCAATAGGTTACCCCAATTAAACTACGTACATTTGTGAAAAGAATACTATATTTTATTCTCCTACAGAACGACAAAAATCGACCGAAGATTTTTAAACGCAATTCAGCTAACACTGGAATACTTAATTATGTAAACATCACGTCCCTAGTTCTGCATATCGCACAATTTATGTTGGCAAAACTATCAACTTCGTGAGTTTTTTAGTCCTGTAAATACTTTTAACTCAACAGCCTTCATTCCAAAAAAAATGTTCGCGTGGTCCGCACACGAAGACACGATGGGTGAACTTTCGACCTAATATTAGCACAAACTCGTGTTTCTCAAACAAGTCAATAAGTCAACAAACAGCGGGTAACCAACAAAATTTCTAGTTTATTGTCGAGATGTTGCCCTTGAACCTTAAGAACAAGGGCGCATGCAAGCCTTACGTCAAATTTAACACATTAGCTGGAGTCTTAGTTTTAGTTAAATAAACAAAAACTGACATGGTTTTACTGGTGCATTTTTGCTGGAAATTAATATGGTGCAATGTTCTGGTCTTTCAAGACTGAATTCTGTGCTTTAAACCGCTTCCGCAAACACTATGCAAAATCTTTGCAACTAGATGTCTTAGTGTCTGATGCGTCAAAGATTCCTGCTACAAGATGTGGATATGCTGCGAAAAACTTGACATTTTTTTACTGGATTTAAAGTGGGAACTATGAGACAGGCGATAGGACAGAGTGGGGCAATTAAAGACAAGTCCACAAGTATTTTTTAATTTTTTTGAAAACACAAAAAGGCTTTGGTCAGGTCCAGTGGTACATAACCGTAATTCCCCGTTCCTGACACAATCTGCTTAAGCATGTTTGAACAACATATACACAATTATTATGCAAAGGATTGTGTTATTACAGCTCATATTGACGCAATTCAGACTTAACTCGCTGAAGAACGGCTTTTAAATGTTAAATTTAATTTTCAAAAATGGTCAGTTAGCGGAATAAGCATTAGGCTTTGGAGTAGTTAATGCAGATTAATTGTGTGACAGGAAGGCATAAATTACGAGCCCAGATATTTCTGAAACTGACAGAAGGCTCAATTTGACAATACTCACCAGTATCTTGTATGTTTAATCCCCGAGCGATAAGCATATTCCACAGAGCAAGCATCAGCGAACAAAAGTTGCATATGAACATGGCATTCATTTCTGAGGTTTTATTATCATACCATCCATATTTTTAAATTTAAATGGGGAAGCAGGATCTACCAGAAATCGCGGCATTGGTGGAATGTTTTGTAACCACGCATGTAGTCTGCACGGCCATGTAAAACCGGGCCTGGGATTTTGATTGGTTGACGGTAAGTGAGGTTCATCGTTAATTGGTAAAAGGAAATTTACTTGGGTATTTGAACGAATAGGGTTGAATGCTAGCGATATTTGACGCTGGGTGTCACCCACGAAACCCCTTGACCGCTTAAGCTTTCATTCCTTCACGGAGAGTTATGAATTAGGCATAAACATTTCAGCATATTTATTCGAGAAAAAACATCATATCATCTAAGTAGTTCCTAGATTATCCCGGAACTTTAGGTCATGATTAAAATATCTTTTTCTAATCCACAGTTATTTGTTTTTCCCTAAAACAAAATTCTGATCCTGTTTGTTAAAACGTAGCATTTGGCATTTGTGCAGTTCTCGTCAGTTTTTGTCCAAATTAAATTTATTCAAACGTGCCAGCTTTCGCGTTCTCTGTTAATGTGATCGAAACAAGTTGCTTTTGACCGATCATTATGGCAGCAAGCTGAATGAAATAAATTATGTCAAATTAGGGTAATTTACTAATAATGAATCAGTTAACAAGGATGCGTGTCAGTCTGTCGATTCGTTTAGATGAACCTTAAAATTTTTCGGCCTCAATCACCTAAGTGCCCTTCGAAGTTGTTAAATGCTGTGATAAGAGGTTAAAATTAAATCGAGCTTGTACGACCTATACAAAAAGTTAGGTTTTTCGTGTGACTCTCTGATGATTGAGTAATGCTTCTAGTTCACACGATATCACCACCAAGTCAAAATGGGATATGATTTTGAAAAAAAGGGCAGTCAAATGTCCACTGTTCGTTTAATAAATTCATTAAGAAACATCGACATATACAGACAGTTTTGCCAGTTTATGAATACATTTAATCAAAAAAACCGAATCAGTTGTTTACCGGTGACAAATTAGGTAACCCTCTATCTACGTATTTTAATTTATAAAAGACAACATTTTGAACTCATTCACCTGATTTGGATAGTACTGTTTGCATAAGAAATCCAAAGGCTTAATTTTGTAGCTGTCCAACTTGTTATGCTACTTATGAGTCATTGTCTTTGCAGTAAATAACCACAACATATGTATACAAACACTCACAGTTAAGAGAAGTTTGCCCAACCATTAAATTTAATGTACACTGATCAAAATGAACACAAATAGCTTTAAGTTTTTCAAGTGACCTGAGTAATCATGGCATGGTTAGCGCATCAATTTAAAGAACCTCCTATGCAGAGGATTGCCCTTTACTAAAGTACTTCAAATTGACAGTAAATATTACCGATAACAATCAATATTTCAATCTGGTTGCTACCATAAATCGCTTATAATGAACTTTGTATACACGTTTTACTACATGAATGGTCCGGATTCAAAAAAATTAACCCACTTGCTAAAAACGAGAAATGAGCCTGGATGCCAGATCACACCAACTACAATTTATCACCATTTTATGAAGCAGTTTTGACCATCCAACTGCTATTTTTTCGGGCAGGCATAAAGGTAGATAAAGCTGAAATGAAATTATTTCTTCTGGGCATAGACCCCGATGTGACTTCGGCAGATTGAAATCCGCAATTCTAATTGTTATTTTTTAAGAAAAATTACCGCTGCAATCGTTTTGCAAACTAAGCAAATTTTGACTCCTGAATTCGGCATTGGGCGTGGTCTAAGTAGATGCGACTTGTCGTAAAATCCTAATTGAAACTGAAGGCATCCATAAATGTTCGTGTCGGAAATGCACTGTACGTTAGGTCCAATTGCTTAATGTGGGCAATGCGAAAATTTGCAAGTAATCAAGCCTCCTCGTAAACCGACTTTGTCACACAACCTAAAACGTTTTTTTTTGAAAAAAAAATGCGATATCTCCTAAAAACCGTTGAGAAATTGACCTTCAGGCATCCAAATAATGCTGAAAAGAATAGCACTGAGATTCCGCATGGAGCAGAGACAAAAAGAGCTTTTTTGAAGCAAGTGTTTGACAGATTTTATTCTGCAGTCGTTACTTGCTAATGCAAATATTCGATTTATTTAGCAAAAGAGGATTATATTACGAAATGCTCCTGTCAATCACGAATTTCTGCGTCAATGTGATTTTAGTGAGTCTTTGATTAGAGGTGTGTTGTTTGCGCCTTCCAGGAAAGGAACCATGTAAAGTCTGCAAACGGTCACTCAAAAGTGAATATTTAGAGTCATCTTTTAACTCATTTATTGGTTATTGAATTGCTTTAGGAAAAAAAAATATGATACGTGGTATTGGAAACTCTTTTTAACTTTTAAAATCCACCGTTGCATAAGTGCAACAGATGCAATTCGAAACTTAGTTAATAAGAAAATTAAAACACAGATAAGGTCCATTTCTGTGATAAAATTGATACAGAAATTAACATTAACTGAGCCATTAAATAACAAAATCACGTCAGGAACGTAACTGTGCAAAGTGGCGCATTTGTTAAAGGCGGTGCCGTAAGTTGTTTTAAAACAAGATCAAAGAAGGTGAGAGGGAGCTTGTTTACATTGCCTAAAACAACTTCCACCGTTTGAATTAGGGAATTTCATCGTCTAAGTGTAATCAACATCAAACACCGCGACCCCTGGTTAACAGTCGGTAACAATCCTAGAATGGAGTGAAGAGAGGCGACAGAGGACAAAACCATTTATTAGCATCACGCCAGCCTAGCGTGTGAATGAGTGAGCGGATGACAGGCGTCTGGTAACAGTAACCAATGCAAAGTGGATGAGTCACTGTCAGCGTCAGGTCAGTAAACTGGATTCACTCAGGCGCGATCGCTGTTAATCCGCTTCAGAACATCAAGGTACTGCCTGGTTCCCTTTTGAGTGGGTAAATTTGCATCTCAAGTATGCTGCTCTAAATTTATCCCTGCTAGGCTGATCCTCGTTAATCAGTTTGTCCTGACATTTATTTCATGACAGGAAAATAGCGCTGACATACGGAGTCAAGCCTCCCTAATGAACCCAAGTCATGTAGACTCGCCGTAAAGAAAACCTCGATTTCAAATGTCTACGAGGCACTGCT